GAGTAACTAGAAATGGGGGTAAGGTTTTCAGGCACTGGCAGTGTTGTTTCTTCATTTGGATGCTGGTTACACAGGTTTGTTCAGTTAGTGAAACTTCCCCAAGCTGTTCACTTAGGATTTGTATACTTTTCTTTATGCTATATTTCAATACAGCAGTGAAAGTTAAAACAGTGAGAGTTCTGTTTTTTAAAATCAGGTTTTTAGCCATTAAAACATAGAAATTTAGTCTGGTGAAGATGGAAAACATACATATACTGATAATAAACTCATACAAGCATTTTTTTTTTTTTCCTCTAGAGACAGAGTCTCGCTCTGTCGCCCAGACTGGAGTATAGTGGTGCAATCTCAGCTCACTGCAACCTCCACCTCCCCAGTTCAAGGTATTCTCCTGCCTCAGCCTCCCTAGTAGCTGGGATTACAGGCACGCACCACTACACCCTGCTAATTTTTGTATTCTTAGTAGAGATGGGGTTTCGCCATGTTAGCCAGACTGGTCTCAAGCTCCTGGCCTCAAGTGATCTACCTGCCTCAGCCGCCCAAAGTGCTGGGATTATAGGCGTAAGCTGCTGTGCCCGGTCAGTAAATTAGTACAAGCTTTTGCCGAACAATTTGGTAGTACCTCTAAAGCTTAAAATATGTATTCTAGAAATTTTCCTCCTAGACATCTCCTGGAATTCAGGTATACAAAGGCATAGGTTATAAAAATGTTTCTGGGTATTTTTGTACAAACATAAAGAAGACAACCTAAATTTCCATCAATGGGGGATTGGTTACATGAATTATGGAAGACTGAGCAACTGTTAAAATTGGCAGAGATGCGTGTGTAGTAGTGTGGAAGGTTGTCCTCTATGGTATTACTGACTGAAAGAAGCAAGTTATAGACTCCGTGAACAGAGTGATCCATATTTATACGGGAGAAAAAGAAAGATGTGCAGGCCGTGGTTATAAATGCTCGGAAAGCGGCTAGAAAGGGTAAATACAAAATTGTTTATGTTGGTTTTTCTTGAATTTTTATAACTGGTAGATAGGGATGGGGTTGTCGTTTCTTTATATACTTCTGTGTTGTTTTTTTTTTTTTTTGAGACGGAGTCTCGCTCTGTCGCCCAGGCTGGAGTACAGTGGAACAATCTCAGCTCACTGCAAGCTCCGCCTCCCAGGTTCATGCCATTCTCCTGCCTCAGCCTCCCAAGTAGCTGGGACTACAGGCGCCCACCACCACGCCCGGCTAATTTTTTGTATTTTTAGTAGAGACAGGGTTTCACTGTGTTAGCTAGGATGGTCTTGATCTATTGACCTCGTGATCCGCCTGCCTCGGCCTCCCAAAGTGCCGGGATTCCAGGCGTGAGCCACTGTGCCCGGCCTACTTCTGTGTTTTTTATTTCATTTTATTTTATTTTATTTTATTTTATTTTATTTTATTTATTTTTGAGATGGAGTCTCCCTCTATCACCCAGGCTGGAGTGCAGTGGCGCAATCTCGGCTCACTGCAAACTCTGCCTCCTGGGTTCAAGCGATTCTCCTGCCTCAGCCTCCTAAGTAGCTGGGACTACAGGCATGCCCCACCACGCCCAGCTAATTTTTGTATTTTTAGCAGAGACGGGGTTTCACCATGTTGGCCAGGATGGTTTCGATCTCTTGACCTTGTGATCTGCCCGCCTCAGCCTCCCAAAGTGCTGGGATTTACAGGCGTGAGCCACCGTGCTTGGCCCTGTGTTAATTTTTTACCTGCATTTATCACTTTGAAAGGTTAGTTTTGCCATTAAAAAAAAAAGTCTTAGCCTAAAAAAAAAAAAAAATGCTTATAATGCTTATCAGAGAAAACAAAAACAAACAGTATTTTTGTAGTCTAAGCAAATAAAGATTTAGGTTTATCTTAAAGCAGAAGATGAGTAACATTTTTGAAGAGTGGTTTTTATCAGTATTGGCTATGGTGGAGATAAAAGGTTTGCTTCTTGATATATTTCAGTTACCTAGGAAATTCACTTGGGTAGAACAATTCTTTTCTTGACAGAGACATTCTTTTTACTTTGTTTGCTTGTGAGGTCATGTGTCAAGTATTCCTGTTCTTTGAAAGACGGCTCAGTTAACAATATTGTGCCTTTGTGTAAAAGATGACCACAGCCAGCAAACTAGACAATGCAGCCCGGGACAGCAGGCTTCACTTGTGTTAATAATGAAAAACGTTTTTGCATTCAGAGCCAAGAGCTGTGAGTTGAGCCTGTTTATCTGGATACAGACTTGTGATGGAAACTCTTAAGCCCTTGTGATCACACAGAGAGATACTATCAACACATCTACAGTGCCTCTTCACTCACTGTTATGTTTCCTATGTGAATCATCCACAAAGGGCCGTTCTGACCCTATCTCAATCAAGAAGCCTGAAATGTTTCAGACGCTGCCATGCCGGATTACATCTATTACCAGTCTTACTGATCCAACAGAATGTCAAACACATTGTATAGATTACCTGTCAGAATCAGTTTGGGCCAAAAACCTCATTAGTGTGAGGCTTAGCGCTTTCTGGAATTATATCCCATTCTGTGTGTCTTCACTTTCAATAAGTGTTGTTGCCACAGATGTAAACACAAAAGCACATCTCCATTAAGCATCTTGTCTCTGGAATTCATATACTAATATCAAGCAGATAAAAGAATGTTGATGCTCAAATCTAAAGAGCAGAAACAACAACATTTAGAGTCTTAGCTGCTCCCCGGCACAGGCACCCAAACTGTACCGGAAAAGTGGCTTCTCTTGGGAAGCGGTTTAACATGTCCCGTGGAAACCTGTCTGATGGCTTCAAGATCTTCACAGGAAGTCTTCCTTCTTAAAGAATGGCCTGAGGTCTTCTCTCTTCACCATCCACTTCTTCTAATCCCTGTTTGAAGGTCCCCAACTACCTCAAACTGAGTAGTTTGAAAATTTAACTCATGAACAACACTCCCTTAACCTGTTCCTCTTCCACTGTTCCAACAGAACAAGTCAAACCCTGATCTACTCCAGAAATCTTTCTAGAGACCTAGGGATCATTCCATTGTATCCTCTCCCTTCTCCTCCCCCAACCCCATATCTAATCCATTAAAGTCCCATCTGCTGAAATTTGTCTTGAATTCACTCCTCAATATTCACTGCCACCATATTGGTCTTGAAGACTTCATATTCTTCCCTCTTGGATTATTGCACGCTTTCTGAATTTGTCTCCACACCACTGCTCCCCCTTTCCCCTCCACATGTCCATTCTCTACCTGCAGCCAGAGTGGCTTTATAAAAAAATCTAGCCTAATCTTAACATTCTCTTGCTTAAAACTCTCCCACTGCCCTTTGGATAAAGCACAAAATCTCTAGGCCTCCTGGGCTCATATCATCTCACCTTCCTCAGGTCTCTAACATTTTGCACCAATATCCTAACTTACTACTTGTTCTTACAGGTTCTAGAAGGTAGCAGAGCCCTTCCCACCTTCAGACCTTTGCCCACGCTGTGCCCTCTGCCTATAACGTTGCCTTCCCGCTTCTGTCTCGCCAGTGCTTTCAGCCTTCAGGTTATTCTTCAGCCTGGACTTCTCCGATGCTTCCTGTGCCTGCCAGCAAGGTCATTTCCCCCACCACAGACCCTTATCATACCCTTTACCTTCTTCATAACATTTGCCACAGTTGTAATCTGTCAGGTATTTCCCTCCACTAGACTTTAGTTCTCTACAAGCAGGATCTATACAATTTGTATAGCACTGTCCTTGGAGCCTGACAGCAGGAAGCCCAGATATTGTAGGTGCTCCTGTGTTAAACAAATAAAGGAAATCTGTCTTCCAAGCCTGGTGATTAGAGTTACTTTAGTATTTTGTTTCATATACCACAAAGAAAGCTAAACCAGAAATGAAATTCTTTGTCCTAAGTCACACACAGCAAACCAGGACTTGCAGGGCTAGAACCCACCCTGGACTCTTGTTACTGTGTCCTGGGCATGTGGTTCACATCTCAACTTTCTGGGACTTAGGAATAAAGTCCACTTGGAAGGTGCTAGAATGTGAGTGCATACCTTGCTCTAGCCTTCCTTTGTCCAGGACTCAAGACACCTACAGTTTAGCTCAGTTTCCTTTTCCTTGATGAAGCCTACCTTTAGTCAGTGAGTGGTGTTAATTTGTTTGGGTATGGTCTTCCTCATCAGCAGTTGGATGACTATTGCTGGGGTAAATGCACAACGTGTGGTAAAATAGTGTCTACATCTGGACTGGGCTGTTGCTCATTCTCTCTTCTGAAAGCTGTCTCAGACCACATGTTACTGGCCATCTGTGAGAACAGCAGGGAATGCCCAGAGGTTCGTCCCTTGAAAGCAGATCAGCTCCAGGGACCACCTCCAAGTGCACCTGCAGTCTTGTTTCCTTGGCAAGTATCAGCCTGGGAGCAAATTCCAGCCATGGATGTTGTTTTTCACCAAGTGGTGTTTTAAAACCCCTGATTAGTGCTCATATTTAAAATCAAGATTATTATGTACAAGCTTGAGTTTCTGTGTTCTCCTGGGGTGGAGGAGACCTGGCAAAACCAGCCCACAACTATCAGCTAGGGCTGAATTTTAAGAGAACCCCCTAAAACAAGACATTATTGATCCCTGCCTGGACTGCCATGGTTACCTTCCTGGCATTTGTAGGCACATGCGTTTGCAAACCCTGTAATATTTTTAAGTCACGGCAGGGGAAGGTGGGGATATATGCATGAAAGTTGTAATTGACTTAGCTGAGCATGGTTCTGCACACCTGTAATCCCAGCTACTCAGGAGGCTAAGAAAGGAGAACCCCTTGAACCCGGGAGGTAGAGGTTGCAGTGAGCCGAGATCGCACCACTGCACTCCAGCCTGGGTGATGGAAGCAAGACTCCATCTCAAATACATCAATAAATAAATAAGTTGTAATTGACATTCTGTATAATTTTTTTTTCTTTGTCCCTACTTCCTTCTTTTTCTTTATCTTCTACTTTCCCTTCCTCTCTCCACTGCTTCTACCACTTTACAGGTTCTGGGGCTGCTGGTATGGACGCTTATCGCTGGAACTGAGTACTTCCGGGTCCCCGCATTTGGCTGGGTCATGTTTGTAGCTGTATTTTACTGGGTCCTCACCGTCTTCTTCCTCATTGTCTACATAACAATGACCTACACCAGGATTCCCCAGGTGCCCTGGACAACAGTGGTAAGGAAGCCGTGGGTGGTGGTCTTGTCCAGTGCCTGCTCGGTAGGATGGCATTAGTCCTCCACTAGTCAATCCAAGACTGTCTCTCTGCCCAAAAAAGGTGGGCCATACCATGGAGAACCCGACACAGCAGACAATCTCAACATCCTCTAAGTGCCTCTCAAGTGGCTTACAGCTGGGTGTGAAACTGGGCACATCAGAAGGTCCAGAAATTCCTTTCAGGCAGAATTGCAAACCAATTCTCAGAAGACTGAATCAAGAAAAGCCAGGTTCTCTCATGTAGACTCTCATTTTATTATTTCCCTGTGAACAATGTCACGTGGAAATAAATATGTCAGGGCACCAACCTCTGCAGGTCATGCTTCCTACAAACCTCTCCTGGGGCTGTGGCCTTAACCCTTTGTACATCACAGCTCTTTGATGCTAGAGCACGTTGTGTATGGAGTTAGCATGCAAATGAAAATTGAAATTAGAACACCTAGGTGTTCTTCTATATTTGAAAAATAGAATTGTCAGGAATGACTGGATTCTCATCCTGGCTCTGGCACCATGCTGGATGCAGGATGGTGAACATGCGGTCCAGGGGAAACAGGTAAGAAAATGAGAAGATACAAAACCCTGTGGCACACACTGCAGTGGGGCTGTGTAGAAAGTGTGATGGAGGCTGCCACCTCAGCTTAGGATGACTGGGAACTCTTCAGAGAGGAAGGGACATTTAGCTTCATCCTGGAGATCGAACACACACATCCTAAGTGGATTCACAGAGATGGAAGGTGGGTTCCCCTTGCCTTAAGAGCATTGACAATCTGGTGGGGAAATTCAAAGTAGCTAAATGATTTACAAAAGAAATTCCAGTGGTACCACATCTGTTTATGTATAAAACAGAGCTCTCCAGTGATACTATTTTTTTTGTCTGTTTTCAACCAATATGTGAGAAAAAATATTTAATTCCAAATAACTGACTTATGAACCAAATTTGAAATATAGTCTATTTGTAGTTATAGACTAAGTTAAGTTGGCAGACTTTCAGACACCACTATCATTGTTCAGAATGCACCTGGCTTTGTTCTTTCTATGTTGCTAAGTCCCCCAGGAAAACAAGTCTTATTTTATTTCACAAAAGCAGTTTGACTGACTCTTGACCATTTCCCCAAATCCAAAAGTAAGGACTCTTTATTAAGGTTTTCAAGAAAGCGTTGCAAGTTTGAAAAGTAATTCCAAACAAGGTGCTTAATCACGGTCTAGGGTGGGGGAAGCAGCCTTGTCAGAACTGGTGTTTTGCTGCCTCAGGTGGGCGTCCGGAGGGAAAGACTCGTTTAGATGCTGGATTCAAAAACAGTTAGCACCTTGAAGTAATAGTAACTACAGAAGCGCAGGATGAGGGAATAATCAAAGTTGGTTGGAATTTAAGGAATGCCATTTTGGAGAAAGTTGTGTTCTAGGGTGGGTCTTGAAGAAAGTGCCTGTGAACTTGAAAGAAGAGGAACTTGGACAGTGTAGTAGGGGAGCAAATTGTTGGGATGGAGGAATAGACAGTACCCTTGTTTCCCCTTTTGCCTGAGTCTCAATTTCTAGTATGTTATCTAGATCAGCAGTTGGCATGCTGTCTTTGTAAAGGACCAGATAGTAAGTATTGTAGTCGTCTTGGGCTATACTCCCATGGCCCAGCCACTCAACTCTGCCTGCAGCATTGAGAGAAGCCATAGGCAATTTGTAAATGAATGAGCATGGCTGTGTTCAGGTAAAACTTTATTTACAAAAACTGATGGTGGATGGGCACGGTGGCTCACGCCTGTAATCTTAGCATTTTGGGTAGACACCTGAGGTCAAGGGTTTGAGACCAGCCTGGCCAACGTGGCGAAATCCTGTCTCTACTATAAATACAAAAATTATCCTGTTGTGGTGGCGCATACCTGTAATCCCAGCTACTCGGGAGGGTGAGGCAGGAGAATCTCTTGAACCCAGGAGGCGGAGGTTATAATGAGCTGAGATCACGCCACTGTACTCCAGTTTGGGTGACAGAGTGAGACTCTGTCTCAAAAAAGCAAAACAAAACTAGCGGTGGGCCAGATTTGACCCACAAGCCATACTTTATGGACCTCTTGTCTAGATCATATATAGCCTTTCTCTTCTCCAAGCCTAAAACTCCTTCCCTGATTTATTACATTAAAAATTTAAAAATATTGCCTTTAATGGGATTTTAAAAAGAATATTAACAATGCCTTCTTCCGGCACCCCTAGTTTTAAAATGCTTTGATTTGCATTATCAGAATTTATTATCATAAGGTATGTCCCCATTTTATAGATAAGGAAACTGAGGTTTGGAGTCTTATGACTTTGCACAGATTTACACACAGCAGGGGTCCACATCTCTTGACTTCCATCTGCATTTTTTTTCTGATCTCATCCTGCTCCAGGCCTCCTCTGCCTGAGTGGTAGGTAAGAACTGCAACCAGACACCAGGAAACCAGGACTCCTAGTCCCTTTAGAAGGGTTTAATCATTATCCCCCTTAAGCAAGGCTGTCAGCCTCCAGGTCAGGGGTTGTACATTCACATGCATGAGGCACCAGTCAGGTCTTACAAGTGAGTAAACTCGGCATGGTATTGAACCTTGCCACCCAGACACACTTTCTTAGCATCTTAAACAACTTGAGAATATTCTCACTTCACAAATAAATAAGCTGGAAATGTGCTCCCAGGATTGCTAAATGTTCTGTTTGTTTTCTAAGGCGATCTAGAAATCTGGGCTTTGGTGTGAACTCTCCCAATTTTAAAACGCTTACAGCCATATTCTTAAAATTCATTTGCTGCTGGCAGAAGCTACAGGTCAAACATGTCTGATTTCTGGTTGGGGTTTATGTTTACTGTTACAAATAAATACACCTTTGTAACTTCTTAAAGCATTTGTGAGTTGGGCACATGGTGTTAACCAAATATCCAGAGTGGAGACTGGAAAAAGTTTCCATCTGTTAACAACTAAAGACTCTGACTAAACTTCTGTATTTTCTACTACCCAGCAGAATCTCTTACAGAACAGCCTGTGGGGGATTCAGATCCCAGCCCAACTGTCGTGTCCCAGCACAAATCAGGAGCGTAGCAACTGTCAGGCTGGGACTTCGTGCTGAGGCAGCTGACAGGCTCCTGGTGCCGAATTGGACTGCCTAAACTCTTGCTACTCAAAGTGTGGTCCCTGGACCAGCAGCATCACTGGGAGATTATTAAGAATACAGAATGTTAGGCCCTACTCTAATCCTGATTTGTACTGACTGAATCAGAAATTCTGTAGAGGGCTTTAGAATCTCTATTATGACAAGATTTCCAGATAATTCTTAGGCATCTAAAGTGTGGGAAACACTGGTTTAAAAAATATAGATCCATAATCCCTGAGTCAAAACCTTTGGGTCAGATGTGAATTAAGAGTTTGTTTTGTTTTTTTTGAGACGGAGTTTCACTCTTGTTGCCCATGCTGGAGTGCAATGGTGCAATCTCGGTTCACTGCAACCTCCACCTCCCGGGTTCAAGCAATTCTCCTGCCTCAGCCTCCCAAGTAGCTGGGATTACAGGCGTGCAGAACCATGCCCGGCTAATTTTGTATTTTTAGTAGAGATGGGGTTTCTCCATGTTGGTCAGGCTGGTCTCAAACTCCCAAACTCAGGTGCTCCATCTGCCTCGGTCTCAAAGTGCTGGGATTACAGGCATGAGCCATCGTGCCAGGTCTAAGAGGTTTTTTTTTTTCTTCTAAATGTTAGAAAGGTAATAAGGTAATTTGGTGCATTTATGTCAATATGTGACATGTACCCCTGAGTCTGGGACTGCACTGTAATGAGACAAATTCATGTTTCTGCAAGAACACGTGGATTTTCCTGCTAAGAGGGATAATGAGGACCACATTGCTCCCACGTCAGCTCAGGTCAGCTTTTACTGCCAAATGACTTTTGAATTTACTCTTGCTTTTCAGAGGATTTAGGGAATCTACGATTGCAGAGAAGGGATTGGTAGACTTGGTTTTAGTCCCCGGGGAACTTGTCTGGGAGACCACTGCAGAAACCAGAGTTTTATAATCTCCCATGTAGGGCCTCCATAGATAAGGCATGAACTTTGCATTGGAGTCTTATCTTAACAATAGCTCATTCCCTTAATATGTCTAGGGAGGTAGAAAGTGACCTATATCCATTTTTAATGTGCAGCAGGAACCACAGCTGGTTCCTACTGGCACCTCGAAGCTCCTGGGCCACAACTGTTATGATACCATTTATTCAGGGAGGCTTGGATAGGTTTTCCAGCAAATCTGATTTAAGCTAAAAGGTCAAAGCAATAACATTTGCCTTCTTCATAGCACCAAGCACTAGGGTCTACACACGTGTGTTTCCTGAGGATTCATTCTCTGTAGCTCATCCTGCTGACCTCACTGCAAGCCTTGTGAGCTCCAGAGAGCAGGGGCATTTATCTCCCTTTACCAGTAAAAGCAGCTACTATTTCTTTTTCTTTTTCTTTTTCTTTTTTTTTTTTTTTTTTTTTTTTTTTTGGAGATGGAGTCTTGCTTTATCGCCCAGGCTGGAATACAGTGGTGCATTCTCGGCTCCCTACACCCTCCGCCTCCCAGATTCAAACAGTTCTCCTGCTTCAGCCTCCTGAGTATCTGGGATTACAGGTGTCCACCACCATGCCCAGCTAATTTTTGTATTTTTTAGTAGAGATGGGGTTTCACCATGTTAGCCAGGCTGGTCTTGAACTCCTGACCTCAGGTAATCTGCCCACCTTGGCCTCCCAAAGTGTTGAGATTACAGGCTTGAGCCACTGCACCTGGCCAGCAGTTACTATTTCTTAAGTACATGCTGTGTGCCAGATGTCACACTGGGTCCTTTATATTTTATATCATTTTATTTAATCCTTGTAGTAACTCTGCAAAGATGGAATGCCTTATTTCCATTTTGCAGATGAAGAAACTAGGACACTGAGAGGATGCTTGAGAGCCAGGAATGGAATGCAGGTCTTCTAA